GAATAAGGGAGAAAGTTTGAAAATAATATTAAAACTGCTCCGAACCTCGTGGGCAGAATCAAGGAAAGAGTCGTGCTGTGTGTTGAAGAAATATTTTTTTTATTTTGACCATCAAATGAATTTTTAAAATTATCCGACCAATGGCTGCAAAATGATAACGAACCAATTGCACTAACCAGCTATCAGTGCAGGGCAAGGGAGCATAGGTGGGGGTGGACTTGTCTTCTAATTGTTCACTTCCCAGGTTTCAATAACACTGTCAATTGCAAGAAAACCGTGGCTGGTTTTTGTTGCTTGACTTCAGCTCCTCCAATAAGTTGGAGAAACTGTGTTGCTTGTTTAGAAACTTCTTTTCCATCAAGTCCCGCCCTGAGTCAGAGCCGGGCAGCCTGGAGGGAACACACCGTACAGGCCTGTGGGAATGGTGAGAAAAATCCCAGCGTTAGTGGAGTGGCAGAGACAAACCCAGGGTGGAGGTGATCCTAGTGGTAAGGCCTGCCGCTCACTGAACAGTTGTCAGACAACCCTTGGGGCACTTCATTTACTTTTACAAATGGATTTAATAAGTTTGGAGAAGAATAATTTCACTAGGCTTAAATGAAATCCCAATATCAAAGATACAGTAACCCAGCCCTCCGTCCCCAAAAGGAAGGAGGGCTCTGAGTTAAGGAGGTCCCTCCTAGACTCCTGATCTATGATACTGCCCTTCACACGCTGTACAAATCTGGCAAGAATTCTTTATTTGCTACCAAACTAACTAAAACACATAGTCGCCTTACATTCGAACTTGTGGCCCGGGTGTGAAGGGCAGGAAAGTGAGTTCTGGTCGCGTATTCATTAACTCACACTCAACACTCTTTCCTTGAACCTTGCAGGCCCTTCCTATTTGTGTCCTATTCTGTCACCTCGCCTCCTTCCCACACCACAACCAAGAACAGAAGACAAGTCAGAAACAGAGACTGAGAAAAACTGTAGAAGAATTTAGGAATTTTTTCCTCCTCTAGAAGGAACATACATTGCCTTTGGTGCTACGTACTAAACAGGAAAGAGTATGGGTGAGTCTGAGTGCCTGGGAGGAGGACTCCTCAGAATAATAACCCTTTCTCCCTCCTTTAGCTCCAAGTGGCTAATAAGAAGCAGAGAAAGCAGACTGTTGCTTGTGATGAAGAGGTAGGAGTTGTGGATGTTGGGGAGGTCTGAAAACATGAGCAGAGATGAATTCATGCACTTGGCAGAAGGCTGGATAAGTTATAATTTTTCCAATCCATTTTTTTTATTTAAAAAAAAACTCAACAGTATTTCATGACTTAGTAAAGAAGAAGAGATTAAAAATTATGCATGATTTGGGAATTGATGGCTCTATTGTGTTGCTTTTAAAACCAGACTGCAATAATCTTGATCAGAAAGTGCATTTACTGGTGACAGGGGTGCAAATTAAAAGCCTGTAAAAATTATTCAAGTTCTTGAGTAATGTCAAGAGCATGGCTTAGGAATCATTGAAATCAAAATTAGATGCCTAAAGAGAACCTTACATTGGTTTAGAGGTGTAGGACTTTTTTCTTATTTCCTCAGAAGGTCTTAACTCGGAGTTTGTTATCTGGTCTCTTCATGTCAAGGACTGGTCTGCTTCCCTCACAACATCACATACAGGACAAAGCGCACACACTCAGAACTGGCCTTCCGCGTGAACTTAAGTGGGTAGGGAGAGCAAATAAACAGCGCCTTTCCCAGGTTGGGAAGGCGAGGGATCCTTAATCATCAGCTCCGACCAAAAGAGGTGGGATTAGAGGATTCTTCAAGAAAACCCAAAGAAACTGTAACTGAGTTTCTCTTTTGCCATTAACAAAACAAACAGGCTCCCTTGCATTGTTTAATAAACAATGCTAAGTGTTGAACAGTTTTAAAAGCTTCACAATTTTCCAAATATGCTCTGCTTTTATTGGTGGTTTTATTTTCTTGTCGTTGTAATTTTTCAAATGTATTTTTTTGGGGGAGAGGGGATCCCGAAGCACTGGACAGATTGACAATAAGATGGAGGCCTTTCCTAAATTACATTTTGCATTTTGTTTAAGACAATCTTTACTCAATAGGGATATTTGTAAAAAATTAACACCTGCCTTCTGTTAGGTTTTGACTGTAAAATACTGATTCACACATCTTGGAATATCAAGAACTGGATTTTTCAAGCACCTCTTCAGGCTTCAGATTAGGAAGGTCAGGTCTGTAAAGGTAGGGCATAATTGCTACTTTGTGATATTTGTTACTCAAATGACACTACTTTCAAACACTTGTCAAAAAGGCAAATCCCGAAAAGACCAGTGGAAAACGAACTGCTGAAATACTAGCTATACAAAGCATGTAGAGCCCATAGGCCGTGATTTTCCTTTTTAGGAAAAGGAGAAATTTACTAAGGTCAGTGTGCCCTTAAGGAGTAGGGAGTGGGGGAGGGGGGAGAGGGGGAGAGGGAAGGACACGCGTCAAATGTAAAACAAACTGGTGGCATTCAGTCAACAAGGCAGGCGACGCTCGTGAAGTGGTGAGTTGTACAAGTCAGCTGGGTGCGCCCGCGCTTGCCAGAGCCAGGCTGCTCCGTGCTTCTCTGCTTTTGCCTTTAAACCGAGCCCTGTGTCGCGGGGATACAATGGGGAGGGGGGTTTTCGATGTGGGAATCGTCAGGTAGGAAAGGAAACCAGATCCGCCACAAAAGGCTGCAATTAAAGTCTTAACGGCGACCCATCTGTCGTGGGACGCCCCCTTCCACTTCCCCTAGCAAAGCCTTCCAGCGCCCTTTGTCTGAGCAGGGGGAGAAGAGAGGACAGGATCTGTGGCCCCAAGAGCAGATGGAAGGAACATTTCCAGCCTGGGCGCCCCCTGGGTGACTGCGCCGGGGCCTGGGACCGCTCCGAGCTGCTCCCGGAGGTGTGGCGCCTCTTTCCGGGCTCTGCGCCCGCCTCTTTCTGCACTTCTCTACCGCCGCTTCGATCCAACCAGCCCGAAGCCACCCGAGACCGGACAGGGGGCACGTCTAGGCCTAGTCGCTAAGGCCCCTCGCGTCCCCCACCTGGCCCTTGGGCTGCCTTCAACTTGCAACAAGATCCAAGCCTCTCCCTTGGTTTCCTCGGCAATTGGGTTTCCCCACCACCCTCCCAGCCGCTCGGCTTCAGCCTTGGGCATCAGGCACGGCCCCAGCCCATGCTCTCTCCGCGTCCACCCCTCTGGGCTCTCCGGACGGGGGCGAGGCCGGCCCTCACGAAAAGCTAGGGTGAGTGGCCCCCGGCAAATGCTGGGCAGCGAGACAGGGAAGAGGTAATGTTTCAGGTCAGTTTCGGGAGACTTCGCGTTTTTTGGTGGAATTGGTCAGGAGCTCAACAATCCCAGGTTCTAGTGGGCTTGCATCCCGCCTCCCAAGAGACGCACCCGACCCCAATCCGTTCTACACGCGCACTCGGGGATCACTCACCGGGTAGGTAGCACCCTGGGCTGCTGCGGACCGCCACCGGCAGGGGCGTGCAGAACGTAAGGCCCGAGCTGGCAGCTCTGC